TTTTCTCCGTGGCTAAAGACTGAATAGCTTTAAAGTGATAACAAGGTAAAAACAAAAGTGAGCATTGTCGCATGGTGTGGTCCTGCACGTCAGATATATAATTTCAGAAATAAATATATACGATTTATTTATTTGTGGTTTATTCATCTATTCTGCCAGTAGGTATGTAGGGTATAGGATGGTAAGGATGCGTAAGGAAGTGATCGAGGCCTAATTTAAGCTACGAATCTGTCGAATTCCAATACAGAGAATGTGTCTGAACTGAGGTTAATTTAATACAATTTTTGTGGATGAATCGTCCTGATGATGGAGGCAGTATGACCTCTGAAACTTTGGTAAACATTTACCATATTACACAGCGCAACAACTCAAAAGTCAGAAATCTTCATATTCACCGCTGTGAAAACCTCAAATCATACATTTAATATATTAATTTTTCCAACTGCTTTAAAATAATTGAAATTTGCGGGCCGGCGCAAATTAAACGTCATGTTACAGAACACGGATGTAATGTATTTTTGAACCTGACATCGCGTTCTCTTGCTGCTAGAAGTGTGATGTGGTTAGTTACCTCATTTCTTTTCACAGAGAATGTTTCAACAGCCATCCCGAATTATGTAATTCAATTGCAATTTGCTGTCAGGACAGCAGAAGGAAGCTTTGTGCAGACAAGTCGATGGTCATAATTAAAGAAGGGCCGATCCACTCACAAGATGAAATGTAGGGATTTTGTCAGAGATACGGCAAGGGGGAGATTTGACATGTATCGGGTGGAAGTGGTCGTAGGTGAAGGGGAAATCAATCATTATCGATCTTGGCAATCACTCAGATGTGTTGTACTTGTCCTGGATCTGTCGTCAAGTGCTGTAGATTCCGTGAGCAATTACTACCGTGGCTACAGGGAAACTTCGGGGAATTTTTTACACGTATTAAATTAATTCTTGCGATAAAGTTTGCAACTTAACGGGCAGTTCGAATTAACTGTTATCCGTTATTTTATTCCGCGTAGTTTAAAAATTTTTCTGAGATTTAATGACTTCATATGGGGATTTGTAAGGAGCCAGCTTACTTTTGATCACTACAAAATAGACGTATAGTTTTTGTTGGTTTGGTGGTACTAACACTTACTTAGCGTCGATGTTTGAAATTGCACAGAACCTAACTTCCGTGCCCTTACATACGCTTATGGTCCGATGTTTGTATAGACAATACTTTTCAATGGGGCTTGCTTATCCGTTTGCATGTTGTCAGGGTTTGAAATGAGAATAAGGATTCAAATATAATACATTTTGAAATGTAAATATATATTGCATGATCATATTATTTGATAGACAATAATAATAACAAGAGAAAGTTTAAAATTTTGGTTTTATTTGTAAGTTTTTAACTTTAGAATGCTTGGTATGGACACTGATGCACAGTGTTTTTGTAGAGATAATTTCAGAATTTACTGGCAGAGCAAATTGTGCAATTAGTTTTAATATTCTAGGATAGGACTGGCTGTATTTCTCGCTTTTATAACACAGCACAAATAGACGAGTGTCACCGCTTGAACCCGGCCTACGCTTCTCACACCAATTTAGGAATCAAGTAACTTTATACTGTCTGAGCTGTTGGCAGCATTATTAGCTGGAAAAATGGTTGCAGCAAATGTGGTTTGTTCTTGAATAGCGTTTACATGACTGTTATTTGTATATACATTGTTTTTACATTTGTATACTGCAGGTGAAGATATGCATCATCGACAAAATGTAAATCTAAATTTCAACTTATGTTTTCTCCAGAGACAAACACGTTTTAAACCTTACATTGCAGTTGTGTTGGAAAAGCTGATTACGAGGCTGTTTAATCTCTCTCAGCTTATGAAGTGCTTTCGTAACAAACAACCAATTTTTATAATATTCTATAGGTCGAACTTCTAATTGGTGCTTCATCTCAAAGCGGCATAATTGGAATTTTGAGTCGGTGTCGTGTATACGCGTCGCTACGCTC